TCTCTTACTAGGAATTTTTATAATAATATAGAATGGAAGTTAAAGACAGTCCTTTGTACCTGATGTGGATATGTTTGCATCCATACTGAATTATAGACTAGAAGATTTTGTCTCTTGGTTTCTACAACCTAGTTGATTTAAGTGGCATGCTTTCTCGTTTTCAAGACATGAGTTTTGTCCATATCTGTTCCCGCTTTTTAATCTGATTTTGCAGGTGGTAAATAAAATTATATCAAATAATGTTAAATTAGCTATTCCCCATTGGATTTCTCAACCTTGGATTCCAATACTCTTAGAAATAATTGTTTCTTTTCCTATTAGGATACCAAGACACAAAGATACGTTGACTTTACCTTACAATAACCCGTGCCAACCACTTCAACAGAAACTATCTTTAGTTGCAGTTATTGTCTAAGGCGACATCTTGAAATACAAGGACTTCAGGAGTGATCTATCACCATCATATTGTCTTCATGTAAAACAGGTACCAATAAGCAGCACGACTTGGCATGGAGGGGGCGGTATATTTGGTGTTTATACACAAACACAAAGAATTTTCATAAATTTTATTTCCGAGAAATACAGTCGAAAGATTTTTCATTTGCTTATGCGCATGCGCATTACCAACTTTCTTATTTATTATCCGGATTTCACCAAACTTGTATGTATGTGTATAATCCAATTCTAAATTTGATGGAAATGTTGAATTTTTGTTGTGCGCATGCGCATTACCAACTTTCTCATTTATTATCCGAATTTCACCAAACTTGGTATGTATGTGTATAATTCAATTCTAAATTTGATGGAAATATTGAATGTTTGTCGTGCGCATGCGCATTACCACTTTCTTATTTTTATCCGGATTTCATCAAACTTAATCTTTATTAATTGACAAATATTCTTTTATTCCTAGTATATATACTTTAAACTCTAGGCACTTTTGGATATTTGCATTTAGAGATGCAGAAAGGTATTTACATAAAGTAATTGCAATAGACCATCTTCGTATGTACCTGAATGTCGTAACCCGCCCTGCATCAGTACTGTTATTAGAACAGTTCTAGTTTTTTGCAGGGCGTTCGTAAGCGAACGCTCTGCTTTGTTTTCGTATTGATTTTTTTTTTGCAGGCCTGGTTTGTTTTCGAATTGATTTTTTTTGCAGGGCGTTCGTAAGCGAACGCCCTGCTTTGTTTTCGAATTGTTTTTTTTTTTTTTTTTTTTTCGTCCACGGCAGGCCGGTTTTCTCGGCAACGGCAATAGGTACGGGAAAACGGACTTCATGGCGTTTTGTAACTCGTGGCTAATCACAGTTTAAATGTAAAACGAAAACTTTCTGAGCAACATTACGCAACGTTGCAACAAAAGGAAAATGGACTCTAGAGGGCTTGTTTATCAACCGATTTTGATCGGGTTTTCTGCATCGTATTTCTTGTAACAAAGGACAAATGATAGCAGTTGAAAATTTTCGATTTTCGAAAATTCGTAGCATACTTTTTTTGCCGAAATTAATCGAAAAATATTATTTCGGTTGTTATCGGACGGATTGACTTGAAACTTACGTGGTGTAGACCGCCAGCATAGAGACATAAAAGTACACATTCAAATTTTTTTTATCACTTCCGGTTTCGATGTTAGTACTTCCGGTGGTATCACTTCCGGTGGAATTGAGTTATGTCAAAAATAACATATGCATTATATTACCAGTCTTAATACAAACTTATTAAACTAAAAAAAATCCGCACCGGAAGTAACATGTTGGCCGCCATTTTGGTTTACCTTATTTTGCAGAAATTGCTATTCAGAGACCATTTTTCATCTGATTTGCATAACTTTTGTGTCAACCGATACGTTTCAAGTCCGTCTACAATCATTAGGCAGCATAATTTTGATTTTCGGTTTTGCCTTTTTTGTACGACCGGATGTTTTTTTTCAAAGTTTGAACGCGTATATCTCATGACCTTGACCTTTGATGACCTTCATATTTACTACGATGATAATATGTGACCTTGTCTATCTGATGACCTTTTGACCTTTGGGGTCAGACAACTCTTTCTGATTTTACAGGGGTCTAAAAAAGGACCATTTTGAGTCTTTGCAGTGCTATATCTCGGTCCCTAATAGGGATATGGCAATAATTCTTTCGATTTTGTAATGTAGAGATTCTGAGGTTTCCAGTGATATAAAACATGCATGCCTTACATGCAAATTCAAAACCTCATTCACTTAACATGGGGTTATTATTAGATAAATCGGCTGATTAGATTAACCTGGCTGTCAACCCCAATATAAATCAAAGTTTAAGTAGTTTTAAAGACACCCTCCCTTTTATATTTCTTTAAAATGTTTTGTGTCCATTTAAGCTATTTAAATAGGTTCTAGGATGGATTGAACCGTGTTATACTGTAAGTTAAGCTTACGGAAGCACATTAAAGGCATACCCCCACTTAATTTCTCAACTTTCTTATTTTTTATCC